GGTCAACACTCTCAGTTTTGCATGGGCAATGCCTGAAGGGGTATTACAGCAGCAGTCACCAGGGCTGTGTGATCTGGAGGAAAATGACAATGCACTGCGTTTAATCCCTGGTGGGTGGGGTGATTTATGGGGGATCCTTTACTAGAGAAAACAAATCTTAGAAACTCTAACGATAATATTGGGCCATATCACATCTTCCACTTTTCGGCAGAACACCTACTGATTTCAATGGGTACTTCCTTTTAAATACCGAGGGGCAGATCCTCAGCTGATGTAAATTGTCAGAGCTCCATCTTTGATGCCAGTGAATTATGACAATATACACCAGCTGAGGAGTTGCCTTATGATTGCATGATATGGTCTTTGATTAGGAGAGTCATCTTCTTGTCACTTACCCAAGAAGTGCATGAATTGGTGGTCTAACACAGAAAAAATTCAGATTAATGTACTTTTTTGATCTCACTATTTATTCTTATGCAATACTAGTACGTAGAATATGAAACAGGGCCCAGTGCACAAGTATACAAATTACTGCTGTGTTAAATGCTTTTTTGCTGTTGTAATTACTCTGTTCTGCATGGTTTAAATTTTACTTTCACCCCTGCTAAGGTTTCTTTCCTAAAAGGAGGGGGGAAAAAATTCCAATTACAGACAATAAATAGAGAATATCAAGGCGAAATGTAAAAAGATTGGTGTGTTACTTATTACTGTCACGAATTAGCTCTGGTGAGCAATTCTGTGCATCATCTTCTCCGGAAATAATTCAACAATGCACTTGTAGGTTAGTTACATTAAAACAGCACTAGGGAGAATGGAAAAATTTCTCAGGACACAAAACTATAGTTTAATTTAAAAGCCATCTCACACAGTATTCAAAACTCCAAAATGTGGCAAGAATCTTTTAACACGGAACTTGTAGAAATGATACTGAAAAATCATTTTTCATTCTGATCAACATTATTAAAAAACCCTGTATATAAAATACTAACATACTGAACATATTTATCAGACACTATAACAATCTTTCAGCTGATTAATTTGAGTCAGTTTGTTAGACTGCAATAGGTACCAAATGACTTAAAAATTAAAACACACAGTTAATTATATAAACTGTATACACGGACATACGCTTTTCACATGACATTAACATCAGTCAGCATATGCTACCAAATGTGAATCTTACAACTTTGCAAACAGTGGTTGTCTTGACTAGATTGCTACATCTTTACTGGCAGGGAAATACAGAAGATTTACCACACGCTTCTTGTGCTTGCAGAGTGAATCCAGGGCTGTTCTTAAATAATAATACAGGGACATAGTCAATCAATTTTTTTTAATTAACTAATTTCCTGATGAACCTTCAAAAACTGTCTTTAAAAAAATCCTTGAAACAAAAACCAAAAAGGAAATAATAATAATAAAAATAATTAAAAAACCCAAGCCCTAAAACACCTTGAGGGGTTTTCTGCTCCTCTGTTTCGGGAAGGAGTAGGAGCACCACTATCAAACAAGGTCAGGCCCAACGCTCTCCTCCATTCCTGTCTCTCTAGGCACACTGCTTCCTTGTGTCTCTTCAGTTCCAGTTTTACTGCTGTTGCTAGTGGTGGACACCTTTTTGCAAAGCTTGGGGCTGGGTGTGCACCATCAACACAGCAGAGAAACTGACCGCACATAAAGTGCTCACTTACTGCACCACGTAAGAGAGAGAGGAATAAAAAACCAAATAACTTTCATCTCTTTCAGTTAAAGTACCGGTAGGGGTCACTCGTAAGAAACCACAGGAATAACATTTTCAGATGGCAATGTGAATCTAAAGGTGGCTGTGTCCCTTTAAAATGATATGCAGGATGCAGAGTGGCTGATTCACAGATTCCTAAGTACCCCATGTCTATTCACCATACACTACTGAGGAAGAGAAGAAGGCTCAGATAGTATATTAGGCTAAAGGGGGAAAAAAGATCTTCCTCTCTCCCCGTCAAAGTTCCATGACTGATAAGTCTCTCCAAAGGGCTGTAAGGAATCGTTCATCTCCACGGGATGGGGAAATCAGGGTGGGGGAAAGATAGCTCAAATAAGCATTTTGCCCCAGCCCATTGCGGCCCTGTACAGAGGCCAGACAGCGTGTCTGGGGACACTACTCCATGCTAGGGTCACTGGTTGTCCTAGTCTCCTAAGCAGGGCCCTACCTCCCTCTCCACTAACAACCCCCAGGAGCACAGATAGCACCTCTCCCTGGAATGGTGAGAAGGCGCAACCTCCTTGTTATCCCACCACCGTAGGACAGAGCCTTCAAGCACAGCCAAACAGGATGTTACACAGCATGGGATGAGAGAAGTTGAAATTTCAGAGGTTAATTACACAGGGAAGTCTCAGAGCTCTGACTCAGGGGAAGTGCCCATTGAAGTCGACATAAATTTTGCCTGACTTAAGAGCTGCAAGCTTTGACCTGCTGAGGAGCCTTCTTCCTACTTTACTTCAGTGCTGAACACAGATACGTCAGCAGGATATTTGCCTCTACTGTCCAAGAGGGACAGCTTTGGAATTATCCTTCACAACAACCTACCAAGGAAACATTCTTAATGACACGAGGTGTCACCTGCTGATAGTGAACTGAGCGAGAATGAAACTCTTGAGAGTGAAGTAGAATGAATAGCCCAAATTATTGTGGGTCATTGAATTACTGTAGTCATCGATCCCATGGTCTGACCTCCAGTGCCTGGTTCCAACCTACCCCCTACTAGCCTGCTTGAAGCTGGTGGGAAGTCTCCGTCTGTGTCATGCAAAGGATTCCAAGAGCCCCCCATGCTGAGCTCCATTTGGTGCTCTCAGTGCGGAGATGGCTCTTGCCACCAGCCTGAATTCCAACAATTAAATTTCTGTCAAGAAATGACTCACTGTAAGCAATGACTCCCACTGTGTTGTCCAGGAGGCAGGTACAGAAGCTATTAGAGATACACTACTTTTGAAAGACTATTGGCTATAGATAGCCTACTAAGACTTCCAGGGAAAGTGCCGGAAAATTTGGCAGTGTTTAATAGCTTGGTAAAGTTTTCAGCCCTGGGAAAAGCTCCTATTTAACCCATTAAGAAAGCAGTGCCCACTATTTTGGTAAATAAAGGGTTAATATACTTAATGGAGCTGGTAGGAAAAACACGGAGAAAAACGTTTTGTTGGTTGTCAAAATTAAAATGTTGCATGGAGACGGTTTTATTTCAACAAAGGTCTGAGGAAACCCTGCCTGGTGAGCTGCTGTGAAGCCTGGGCTTCCAAGGGCTGTGGATCCAGGACAGCCTGCCAGGGGTGCTGTCTCAGAGTTGGGGACCCCTGGGCTTCCAGGGTCTGCAGCTCCAGGACAGGCCACCAGGCAGAGTGCCCTGGAGCCGGCCATGTCAATTTGCAGAAAACTTCAAAATGTGGGGTTTTCATTCTGAATCGGAACAAAACCTAATTTAGAAATATCTAAATCTTCGACATAATGGAATTACCTTGCCCTGCCAACCTGTAATATTTAATACTGTTACTGGAGACAGAGCTAACATGCAGGAGAGTCTGTGTGAGAGGCAATTCTTCCTGTAGCACTAACAGCAATGAGCTCAGCTGCTAATGTGTTAATGTAGCGCTGAAATGATTTTGCTTTGAATAGTACATGCTGACTGGCCATGCAGCTACTGCAGTTTTCCTGGAGCAGTTCAATAAAGAGCTATGCCCTGATTGAGCCAGTGGCTTAAGCGCATGTGTGATTCTGTTGACATCAGTGTAGGTTTTTGAGGTCACGGTGTACTGACTCCCCAGAATGGATTCACCAAGTTAGCAGCTCTGTCGATTAACTAATTGGGGATGTCCAAATTCAAGGGGAGTTTTGCCAATAAGGCCTTCAGGACTGGACTCTATGGTCATTCTTTCAGCAAGCAGAGTGTCTGCCTTGGACATATGCTTTGCTTACTGTTTACTCTCTTGCTTTTCTGATTTCTGTTCTTTGTTCTCTTTGTAAAGGATTGTTATTCTGTGATAAAGTGCCTGTGCCTTCACTGTTTATTACAGCCTTTTATTAATACAAGCCATTGTACTTTGATGGGAAAACTCACACAAAATTTAATGTCAGTAGTTAGAAAATGACTGCCTTTTAGTTCCAGCTGGAGTAATTAATGATTATTTGTAAATATCTATACCAAGCGGTTTTATCATCATGTTTTGGAATTGTTGTCAAATAACTAAGTGAAATTCTGAGGAAACTGTATTTCAAACTTAACAAAATAATCAAAGTTTATCTCATGTCAGCTACTTTTTACAGCTAAAAGCAGCCTTTAGAAATCATAGCTTATAAAACTAGACACTTCATAGGTCATTTGTCTTGTATGCGGTGGAAAATCTGAAAAACAATTTGGGTGTCTTAATGGCATTGTGGGACTCTGCTATGTTTTATTTCAGGTTTTAGATTTATTTTCATTCTTTGTTGCTAACCTCACACATTTCCCCATCATTTTACTTTCAGTACTTCTTTGTTTGGTACGGTTGTGTTTTTGAGACAAGCCGAGAATGTCTTAGGGAAGATGGATGCTAGACATATAATTTATTATTAATATTAATTATATTGATAAAACAAACTGATGAAAGTAAGGAGGAAATAAGATAAATCTGTACAATATTTGAATTAAATGATTTAAAAAAGGTCACATTTTGAAAGAGGACTTACTGCTTAATCAGTGTACAATCTAATTTGGTTATCAGTTATATAAATTACATACATTACTGGATCTGTATACTATGATCTCGTTGCATAACAAGAGATTCAAAACTCTGCTTTTATGGCAGATTAACTTCTTCCATGAAATGACTGGGACCAGTCTCAGAATCAAGTTTTCTAATGCAGAAGGCAGATCATAGAAATATATCTTGCTTTATGAACAAACATATAATTTTTTACATGTAAAACAATATAATTGTAAGGATCGGCAGAGTGCATTGCCTGTGAATTTCATGCTGGTTGAGCAATATCTCAGGTCTGACATGTTCTGCAGCTAATTTTCTGATTTTATTGCTCAACTGTTCCTTATCCATAAAAGAAATATGCAACATGCTTGTGTTACAAACAATGGAAGTTATTTAAACAGAGTACCATCTGCAGTACAAAAAACTGTTAACTATTTCATTATGTCCTGTTCCATTTATAGGGCGCTACCTAATTTGCCCTTGCAGAATTTGAAGAAAATCTACCACTCTCTGCTAACGGGCTGATCCCCACATCTGTGTCAGATAAAATCATAGTGCTTATTATTTGTTACCATGGATACCATGAAGATACTGCTGTCCACTAAAGATTACTAGAGGAAGACAACATAATTCTCTGGAACTAGTCCTGTTTTGCCTTCATACGTTGCTTTTAACCAGCCTGGTTCCACTGATGGGTACACTGCAATAAATAAATAAATATATAAATAAATAAAAATATATAATATATATTAAAATCTGTTATAGTTAAATTTAATCCTTATCCCAGATGTTTGAATTAAAAAGATCAACATCATTATAAAAGATCAACATCAGATTAATGGAGATATAAACATTAAATTTGAAGTGAAAATCTCTTGACTTATCTCACAGATGCAGTTATGTTTAAATATTGTGTGTATAAGAAGACTATCTAATACATCTTACCATTTGAAAATATCGCCCCCTGTGGGAAGGAGAGCTCATGACTGTGCTCAGCTTTACAGGAATACATGGCTTTGGCTTGTCTGAAAGATCAAAATATAAGTTTGTTACAAACAAGAAAAGGGGGAAAAAATGAATTTAAAAATCTGAGAAGCAGAATAGTCAGCACTGAGCTGGGAAACAGGGAATCCTGACAGAGTTCTAGAGAAAACTCATGAATCTATCTAGACTAACTCCACGTCTGCACATGATTTTCTGTAAGGCCTTGGGCAAGTCATGTAACTTCTTTGTACCTCATTTTTTCCCAGCTCTAAGTAGAGATATCAAAATTTATGGGCATCGCCCACCACACTGAGGTGAGGTGAGGATAAATTTGTTCAAGACGTCATGTGTTATGTAAAAGTACTGCAGTTTGTGATTAAATTGGAGATTATCGATAGCACTTTCTTCCCAGTCAGAACGTTGACTCAATGATCTAATATACCATCTGTGGTAGATTTTAATTTGTCAGCATAACTCCCCCCGACTTTCTTCCCATGAAATGAAATTAGTGAACTCAGAAGGTTATATTAAGGTGGACACAATTTACACATTAAGGACCTCTCTGCTCCACCCTGTGTGCCAGTGGTGCTGTGCAGACTGATGTAGAAGGATGGTTCAGCCATTCCCCTGCCTCCTCCACACCCACTTTTGAAGCTCCATGCACCCCTGTAGGAATTAGGAAGGAAGGAACCCTCCCCCAATAGGGGTTCCAGAGAGAGTTTAATGGACGGGTGGTGGTTGCTGAAGTTGTGGTGGAAATCTGAGTTTAAACCGTCTGTCCAGAGGATGAAAATATCTTCAATGTATCTCATGTATATCATTGGTTTCATGATGCATTTGTCCAGAAATTCTTCTTCAAGGTGGTCCATGAAGAGGCTGGCATATTGCAGAGCCATCCTAGTACCCACGGCTGTTCCCATGGCTTGGACAAACTGTTTGTTGTTCAATTTAAAATTGTTATGGGTGAGGATGAAATGGATGAATTTGGTAAGAGTCAGGGTGTATATCTGAGGACTGTCCATGTCTTATAAATATATGAGGCAGGAATCTATGGTGTCATTGTGAGAGACATTGTTGTATAGGGAAGTGACATCCATGGTAGCGAGGCTGGTGTTCGGATGGAGGTTGCTAATGTAGTGGACTTTCTGGAAGGAGTTGGTTGTGTCTTGGAGGAAGCTGGCCCTTTGTGTGGTGAGTGGTTTGAGGATGGCTTTTATGAGTTCTGATATTCCTTCATGGCACTCTTACTCTCTGGAACACTCCCACACTAGCATCAACTTCCTGGACATGACAATCAGCTTCAATAATGGAACCCCACAGACAACCATATATGAGAAACCCATGGATCAGTACACCTACCTTCATAGATCCAGTAACCACCACAAACACACCAAGAAATCTATTATCTACAGTCAGGCACTCAGATACTACAGAATATGATCAGAGGAGAAAGTCCAGGATATATACCTTAACACGCTCAAAACTGTCTTTACCAAACAAGGACACTGCATCAGAGAAGTAGATTGCACCATGAAACAGGACACCCAAATACTCCAGGATAACCTGCTTCAATACAGAAATAGAACCCCCTCCGACCACACACCCCTAGTTGTCGCCTACCAACCCAAACTGGAACCCATGTGGGGTATCATCAAACAAACACAACCCACAGTCGATGGGGACCCTATATTGAAAGAAATCTTTCCTGAACCCCCTCTTCTGGCCTTCAAACAATCCCTCAACCTCTCGAAGCTCATCATCAGAAGCAAGCTCCCCACTGACCAGGACACACCCACTCAAAGCAGCACCAAACCCTACCAGAACAACAGATGCAAAACCTGCAGAAATATTTCCACTGCTACACCCCCCACAACACACCTTTCAAGATCCATGGATCCTGCACATTCCTAACACAACATGTGAGTTACCTCATGCAGTGCTCTAAATGCCCTAATAACAACTATGTGGATGAACCCAGACAATAACTATGCTCTTGAATGAACTTGCACAGGAAATGATAGAAGACAAAAACTCCCTAACACCTGTGGGTGGGTGAACACTTTTCACAAAGCAATCACTTTATATCTGACATATCAATCCTCATTCTCAAAGGAAATCCACCCATCATTTGCAAAAGACAAGCCTGGAAGCTTAAATTCATAACTCTGCTACACACTAAAAATCATGGACTGAACAGAGACACTGGATTTATGGCTTATTACAACAATCTGTAGCCCACTAACCCCCTTCTTTTTGTCCTGTGACTGCAGAGATGTTAACGGGCCTCTCTACCTTGAATGTCCCTTAGAATATGTGCTAACTACTTATGCTAAACAATCCATTCCACCCTGCATTTAGCTATGAGGCTCGGAGTACCTTTCAGAGACCTGAAGAAGAGCTCTGTGTGGCTTGAAAGCTTGTCTCTCACATGAACAGAAGTTGATCCAATAAAAGATATTGCCTCATCCACCTTGTCTCTCTAATAAATTCCAGTCAGCACAGACCTAGATTTTCACAAAAAGAACAGGAGTACTTGTGGCACCTTAGAGACTAACAAATTTATTAGAGCATAAGCTTTCGTGGGCTACAGCCCACTTCTTCGGATGCAGATAGAATGGATTTTCACAAAGCTCATACTTCAGTTTTTGGGTGTCCTCTTCAAGGCACCTTAAAGGGGCCTGATTTTCAGCACTTTTTGATAATCAGGCCCTTTTAAGGGGTCTCAAGTTTGACACCCAATAGCACTAGACACTTTTGAAAACCTTGACCATAGCCCCTTTTGTGTGGTGGTGGTGGTAAAGAGGACAGCACACCACTCCAGATGATATCTCTGCCTCTCATTTCTAGCAGGGAAGAGAAACCCTGAACTCATTCAGAAGAAAAACAGATCGTGCCTCCCTGTTGATGCTATTATTTGTATTCTAGTAGCACCTATCTGAGCCAACTTTGATTGGTGCTTCCAGTGTTGTAGGCACTGTACAAACACACAGTGAGAGATCGTAAGCTCTTCAGGGCAGGGACTATCTAAACAGACAAGACAAACAAGGAAGTTTTGTTACCCGTCTTACAGCTGATGCAAAGAGGATCTGATAGCTTGTCTAAGATCACACAGGAAGTCCGGGACCTGTCTGGGACTGAACTCTTATCTACAGAGTCCCAGTGTGGTGTCCTAACCACAAGCCCTCCTCTTTAATTTGATATGATAAAGAGCTCTATAAACATTTATGGTAAGTATGTTCATAGTTCTCCCACAAAATATCTATTTCCCGTATCACTTAACCATAAAACTATACATAATACAAACATGAGACCAAAACCCAGATAATCTAAGGTATCCTCTACTGAATTTAATAAACCACAGAGATGATTATAAACACATGGATAATATGCAATACCCTCCATATTTGGTAAGGCTGTAAACCAGTCAGGCTGTGTTCTAAACCAAGGTTAAGAGTTCAATTGCTACAGTGAGAAGGGGAAGCTAAGAACAGAGAGAGAAGAAATGGTAATGTTTGTGGAGTGTGTGTGTGGAGAAATAAGCTATTTAGCTTTCCTGGAGTCAGAAGATGTTGATTTTTATTGTGGTGTTAAAATGAGATAAGTGGAATAAATACAATTCTTTCTTTCTCTGGCACTTTCTTATGTTTAGTGAAATATACCAATTTCAGCTGAATGGAGGGATGTTTAATCTCCAAAAATGAAATAAATTTGAGAAAAAAATAGGGTGTCGGTCTTGCATTCTCCAATTAAGAGAAAGTTTGTAGGGACCCGAGTGTCAAGTCATTGCACCTATAAAATGAGTGAACAAAATGCAGCAATTAATTGACTGCACAGTCATATAAATGCAGTCAAGTGTGAGCAAGTTTGCTTGAATTAACAGTTTCTTCAAGTGATCTTCTTATTATCTTAATTTGTTGTTATTATTCTTGACATACAGAATAATTATACTCCACTGATGTCATGTACAAATAAAACAGTGTGCGTGAAATAGCATAGGGATAGGCCTAATCTAGAAATATATTCCCATGACTTTTTGACTAATTTTCAGGCTCCTGATTATTCCCTCCATCTCCATCACATTTTGTGATTATTAAGATATCATTTTCCTATGATGGTACTGTCCAGCCACAATGTGTTATCAAGCTTTCACGGCTCAAGGTAATCTTATTGTGTGCAACTGCGCAGAGGGACATTCTCTCCGGTGGTGCTAATGCTTTTTTTCAACCAATGCTGCCAGTCGAAGAGGGTGTGAAAATAGCACTATCATCTATAGTGAGGCTCTTAAAAGGACTAACATTATTTTGAAGAAGAGAGTTACTCATGCCGTTCAGTGCATAGAAGAGTTAGATAATGGCATCTACCTCTCCTAAGAGTTCACTTTCCTTAACTTGAGTTGAACAGGTTACCTACTGGAGAATACATTTGTCTTCCCCTCATAGAGTGGCAGGCCCCAGTAAATAAAGTAGGTCAGCTCCCCTGTGCCAGAGCAGGTGCTTCCATTTAGTCAATGAAGAGGGCAAGGCAGCAGCTGGGAGATATCAAGGAACAGAGAGAGAGCCAGTAACAGAAAGTCCCAGTGAGTCACAGCAGGCTGGTTCAGTCAGAAAGGGCAGGTGGGCACTGGCAAAGACCAGCGGACTGGAGTGGTCTTAGAGGGAAACAGAAGGGTGGTTCCTGGGGACAGGTTGAAGAGGGGTTTTCTGGCTGGTGTCTCCAAGACAAAAACCAGGGCCAGAGGGCTGAAGAGGGCTGAAGGCTGGAGGAGTAGCAGCAGAGGGAGCTGCCTCCTGGCTCTAAGTTGGAGAACTGCAGCCAAGGGCTGGAGAGGACTGAAGGAAGGAGAGCAGCGGAGGAGCTTAACTTCTGAGATCTTCAAGGCCGGTGAGCTGGACCCAGAGAAAACATGAGAGGGCTAGGGGAGTGAGGGATGCTCTCCTGGCAAAGATGCTCCCACACGAAACTCTGTGGGGGTTCCCAGTGGGAAGAGCGGAAATCTGTCCTGGTACAAGGACAGGAGAGGACCGACAGAGTCCAGGCATGG